TACTTAACTACTAGGGTGCTTTTTATTTTCAACATTGGCCCCTGTTTATGTCCCATGTTTACTGCTACACTTCTTTTTTAATGAAAAGTGATATGAGTCTGGAACGACACTAGAGTATAAATAACACGAACAATAAAGACAGAATTTTTATTTACGGATGAACTATTCTTTAATTAGGGGTCAATGAGCCTCAAGTGGGACGCGTCCACCTGCTTGAAGAAAAACCGACACCAACCTCATTGCTGCCAAAAGGGTCTGAGAATCAACCAGGTGTCAAATGTTTGTGAATGCACATACACACACGCATGAATGTCAATCCCGGGATTAAGAGATTCCTTTATGAACGTCTAGATGCTGTTAATGATCTCGGTAAAGCGTGTGTTTTTTTTTTTCTCTGCTGTACACAAGGGCACAGCGTGAGCTATTAATTGATCTCGGAGGAACCGCAGTGACCGTGTGCAATGTTCTGGCCTACATTTCACCTCCATCACACTTCTGGAGCTCACATCAGAAGACTGGACATCTGATACACAGCGGAGCATATCAACACGCTTTCCGGATCACCGTTCCCTAGTGACACGGCCAAACGCGGGATTACAGTCACGGGTAAACAGTTCCCTCAAAACAGACACCACAATAGAGGAGAGTACAACACAACATGACTAGCATGAATAGAACACAATGGAACAAAAAGCGCAATGAAATAGAAAAACACCACGATTAAGATAATGGAATAAAACACAATAGAATAGAATTTAATAGAATAGAATAGAAAATATTTAAGAGTGGGGTTAAAATGAATTCAAGATAATGGAAAGAAAAATGTAAACACAATGCATGACAAAAATACAGGAGAGCATGATTTGCATGAATAGAATAGAATAGAATAGAATAGAATAGCAATTATTTAAGAGTGGGATTAACATAAATTCAAGACAATGTAAAGAAAAATGGAAACACAGTGGATAACAAAAATAGAGTAGTACCTGATTTGCATGATTAGAATAGAGTAGAATAGAAAAGAACATACTACAGAGTGGAATTAACATTTATTTAGGACAATGGATTAAAACGCACTGAAAAAGAGAAATATAGCAGAGCATAATTTGCATGAATAGAATAGAATAGAAAATACTACAGAGAGGGATTAACATGAATACAAGACAATAGCCCCTTTTACACATACAGACAGAAACAGAAAGGTTGTATGTGTGAACAGGTCCTTTTTGAAAATACCGGTAAATTCGTTCTGGCTATTTTCCGGAAAGAGAAGTTGTAACATTACCGGCAATTTGCCGGAATGCTGCGCTGTGTGAATGCAGATGGAAGATTGCAGTATTAAGCGCGTGCACGTCTAGAATGTGCTGACGTGAGACGTCTGCTTTAGCCAATCACAAGTCAGACGCATTTACGTCCGCGCGGTTTATGAGAATAAAAGCCTTTGAATATTTTTCCAGACACATTTAGCTGCTAGAAGTTAGTCAGATCACGTTTATATGTTCTTCTTAATGCCAACTGTGTAAATAATCATCGATGAGATGCTTATGATAAGCCGTTGTTTGTTTACCTTCAAGCTTTGCGTGTGCCTGTGAAACAGCCTGTGAGCGCCTGCACACGCACATATTATGAACATCTCGACATGAGAAAGTGATCCTGCGAAAGTTGTTCACAATATTGATCATCCACAGAGTCTGTAATTTAGTCAAATGCTTACAAACACAAGCGCAGCCGTTTAAAGCTCATTTGTGGTGAATGATGTCAGAATTTACCGGTATTTTGGAATGGATGTGTAAATGCTCTTTTCCGGAAAAATCCTCGCCTGTGTGAACAGCGCTTTTTTGAATATACCGGTAAAGTCGTTCCGGAAATTTTCCAGATATTTACCGGTATCACTGTGTGAAAGGGGCTTATGGAGTAAAAATACAATGAACAAGAAAAACAGAACAGAACATGATTTCATGAATAGAATAGAATAGAATAGAAAAAAATACTACAGAGTGAAATTAACAAGAATTGAAGACAATGGAATAAAAAACAACAGAAAAAATAGCATGGCTTGCATGAATAGAATAGACTCGATAAGAATAGAATAGAATAGAATAGAATAGAATAGAATAGAATAGAATAGAATAGAATAGAATAGAATAGAAATTACTCAAGAGCAAGCTTAACATGAATTCAAGACAATGGAATAAAACACTATGGAAGAGAAATAACAGAGCAGAGCATGATTTGCAAGAATAGAATAGAATAGAATAGAATAGAATAGAATAAAATAGAATAGAAAATACTACAAAGAGGTATTAACATGAATTCAAGACAATGGAATATACACAATGAAAGAGAAAAAAATAGAACAGAACATGATTTCATGAATAGAATAGAATAGAATACAAAAAAATACTATAGAGTGGAATTAACATGAATTGAAGACAATGGAATAAAAAACAACAGAAAAAATATAGAAGAGCATGGCTTGCATAAATAGAATAGAACAGATAAGTAAATATAAAGTATGGCAGAATAAAGAAAACTGAATAGAACAAATCACAATTGGCACTGATAGAAAATAAAGGAAAAGGTATAAATATAAACATGTAAATCTAATAATAACAAACGCTTCCTGGAAAACGAGATTTAGCTTAATATACAGTAACTCCAGAATAAAGCAGGTTTTACAGTACCAGATCATATGAGTGTGAGTGAAGAGTGTATTTAAACAATATGGGAATGTGACTGTCAAATTAACAGTGAACGGTTTTAGGACTTTTTGCAATTCCATGAGAGTTTATATCAGCAGCCACAAGATGGCGCCACATACTTTACAAAACTAATGAGGTAAATCTCATAAACAAAGCAAAGGTCACATTTGACTGCATGATCAGGGGTGGGGGGATGTATTTGCGTGATATTTAAAATTATAAATGTCATCTAAATATCAAAACAATAAAAACAAATAATAATTAAATGATGCCCATTATTCTCACTGGTGACTTCACAAATCCATTTGTAGTCATCACAGTACTTATTTAAAATGATCTATAAATTATGCTTATGGAAAAGAATTAAGAGTGAACTACTACAGATATTTTAGCAGCACTTTACAAAAAGGTAATGTATTAATGGTGAGGTGAACTATACATTTATTACAATATTTATTCATCTTTGTTAACGCTAGCTAATGTTAATATATTTGCTCGTTAGTTCATGCTAACTCAGTGCGTACGCTAATGTTAACAAGCATGAATTGGGATTTTAATAATGTAATTAGTTCATATTGAACTATGATGAATAAATGCTGTGCAAGTATTGGTCATTATTAGTTCATATTAGTAAATATATGAACTAACATTAACTAATGAAACTTTTGTAAAATATGACAGACATTATAAAAATAAAAACTCAATTTAAAGCATTTGCATTCTTAAAAACAAAAGGTGCTGTGTTTTCAAACATGTTCATGTATAGCAAAGTATCAAAATGAGTATCAAAGGTTGCACTGTGATCCTTATTATTATTACGTTTTCTGATGACTCGTTCTAATGTTCTAATGACATAAATGAGATATGAGATACTTCAGTTTTGGTGCAAAAAAATCACATTCTTGAAATGTTGTCTGATATACCCTCATCGGTCACTTTATTAGGTACACCTGTCCAACTGCTCCTTTACGTAAATTCACACATGGCAGAAAATCAATGCATTTAGGCATGTAGACATGGTCAAGACGATCTGCTGCAGTTCAAACTGAGCATCAGAATGGGGAAGAAAGGTGATTTAAGTGACTTTGAATATGGCATGGTTGTTGGTGTCAGACAGGCTGGTCTGAGTATTTCAGAAACTGCTGATCTACTGGGATTTTCACGCACAACAGTATCTAGGGTTCACAGAGAATGGTCAAAAAGGAAAATATCGAGTGAACCGCAGTTCTGTGGGCACAAATGCCTTTTTGATGCCAGAGGTCAGAAGAAAATGGCCAAACTGGTTCCAGCTGATAGAAAGGCAACAGTAACTCAAATAACCACTCGTTACAACCGAGGTCTGCAGATTAGCATCTCAAAATGCACAACACATAAAACCTTGATGCAGATGGGCTACAGCAGCAGAAGACCACACTGGGTGCCACTCCTGTCAGCTCAGAGCAGGAAACTGAGGCTACAATTTGCACAGGCTCACCAAAATTAGACAGAAGAAGATTGGAAAAATGTTGCCTGGTCTGATGAGTCTCCATTTCTGCTGCAAAATTCTGAAGGTAGGGTCAGAGTTTGGCATCAAACAAAAGCATAGATCCATCTTGCCTTCTATCAATAGATCAGGCTGGTGGTGGTGGTGTAATGGAGTGGGCTCATTGGCACCAACTGAACCTTGTGTCAATGCCACAGCCTACAGGAGTATTGTTGCTGACCATGTCTATCCCTTTATGATCACAGTGTACCCATCTTCTGATGGTTACTTCCAGCAGGATAATGCGCCATTTCATAAAGCATAAATCATCTCAGACTGGTTTCTTGAACATGACAATGAGTTTACAGTACTCAAATGGCATCCAAAGTCCCCAGAACTAAATCCAATAGAGCACCTTAAGGATGTGATAAAATGGGAGCCGGCAAATCTCCATTGATGGTATCATATCAGTATGGATAAAAATCTATGAGGAATATTTCCAGTACCTTGTTGAAGCATGGTGGAATAAGGCAGTTCTGAAGGTAAAAGGGGGTCCAACCGGGTACTAGTAAGTGTACCTAATATAGTGGCAGGTGAGTTTAAATCTTGCTTTGATTTCAGTTTCTTTGTGGTAAACAGTCTGACTTGCATATCATGCCTTTAAATCGCTGCAAAAGGGACAAAAAGCACACTTTTTCTTCATTTTAGGGTATTTTCTATGTCTACTTTATGTTTATGTAATGTAAAACTGCTAAACTTCTCTTTTTATGAAAAGCACAATCCAACAATCCAACCTGCATGTCTGTCTTTGGCAGTAGTAAAAAAGAAATTCTCACCCTTGCAAAGCTTTTTCCCCAAATGAATCTCCTCTCCCCATTGACCGCAGGTAAACAGGCTCCTGACCGGGACAGTCCTCTCTCGTCATCGTCACCTGGACAGAAAAGATGAAGAAAAAGTCAATTACAGTTGAAGTCAAAATTATGTGCCCTCCTGTGAATTTATTTATTTTTTTGTCTTATTTAAATATTTACCGAATGATGTTTAACAGATTAAGGTATATTTCACAGTATTTCCTACAATATATTTTCTTCAGGAGAAAGTCTTTTAGTTGGGCTATGTTGCACCCAATGTATATGCCTGTGTGTTTTGCTTGTGCTCTCCCTCTCTCGATCTCACACTTTTCTTAGAATCGCCCACTCCAATTTTCCATTCGTCCGTGAAGACGTCAATCTTCATTACTCCCTGTGACATCATCACCTTCGCTGCTAATAATGTAGGAAGCCCAAAGTTTAAAGGGATGCGAGCAGGGAAGCCTGTTCTCTTCCTTCTGTCTTGCTTTCCTTTTGCTCTGTGTGTGTTTGTGTTATGGCTTGTGATGTGTGCTACTATGTTGATGTGACTTTAGAGTTTGAATTGTGTTCTCTTTTCAGTTTTGGTACACTGTTACAGTCTTGTATGTGCATATTTCATGATCCCTGATCTTTGGTGTCCGAATTTTCTGAGACACTGTTCGCTGCAGAGCCATTTGAGCAGAGCTGAGCTCCAGCGAGGGGGAGCATGAGCTCTCGCTCCTCCTCCTAAGCTGTTTTAATGCGTGCACCAACCCCACCCATAACCCTACCCCCAGTGATATCACTCGTAGAAGATGTGCAAGAAAGGAGGAACGAGAGCTCAAGCTCCCCCTCGCTGGAGCTCAGCTCTGCCCAAATGGCTGTGCAGTGGGAATCGAGAAGTTTAGATGTCACCTGTAGGCATGGGCTGGAATAAGATTCTGTCGGTACGATAACCTTGGATAAAAATATTGCACTTTCACAGTATTGTGATTACTGCTCTAAAATATATTCTTCTTAAATGTCTGGGTAAAAAGCAAAAACTTTTTTTTTAATCTTTTAAACACAGTTTATTTTATTTTGAGAAACATTTAGGGCTCTATTTTGACGATACATGCGCAAAGTGCAAAGTGCAGGGAGCAAACGCATACAGGGCGTATCAGAATCCACTTTTGCTAATAAAAAGAAGGAAAAATCCACTTTGAGCCGTGGCGCATGGTCTAAAAGGGTTGAGCTTATTTTCTTAATGAATTATAGGTGTGTTTTGAGAATAAACCAATCAGAGTCTCATCTCCCATTCCTATTAAGAGTCAATTGCGTCGCGCCAGGGTGCATTTGCTATTTACATGACAATAACGAAGTGTGCTCAAAAAAGTTATATTGAAAAAAAAAAGAGTTATATCCAAATACACATATGGTCTAAAATCTGACAAGTGGGCAAATCTAAGCATGATTTTAATAAAACAATTATAAATATGCATATTATAAATAATACTGCTAATAATAAAAACATTACATAAAAGCAAATTGTTATAAATGAACTGAAAAAGCCTCCCGAGATGAAGGCATGAAGGCAGTGTTTTTTATTTTTATGTAGGCTAGAAAATAATGGGTTTTGTAATATTTTAATCCTTTATATTTATATCCTATATATATTCTTATTATATCCTATGTATATATATATATATATATATATATATATATATATATATATATATATATATATATATATATATATATATTTAATATATATATTTAATATTTAATATTTTTATTCTTTTTCATATGTAAAGATATTTGCGTATTGCTCTACATCTTATGTGTATTAAGCAGTGTGTAAGCGAGGCGCACAACTAACACGCTCTAAGCTTGACAATAGACCGGCTTTGTTCTGGTCTATTGAAAAATCTATTATAGTTTCCCAAAATAGCAACGTGCCAGCAATGCGCCTTAACACGCCTCCCTTTTTAGACCAGAACACCTACAGTATGGGCGCACATATGAGCGCAAATGCACTTTCTATTTAAACAGCTTAAAACGACTCTTACGCCAAGCTGAAACTAGCAAACAACAATTGTGTCGCGCCCTGCGCCACATTGCACCAGGTGTATGATAGGGCCCTTAAATTTTTTTGGAGAAGAAAAAAATGTCAGGCTAAATACTTCAAATAAATCATTGACTTCTGCTGTCTTCATTTGTTTCAATTTTTTTTTTTTTACAATCCAAAAGATGTCTTTTTGCTGGAGATACTGTTGTCCTAAAAAGCAAAAAAAATAAAAAGTAGATAAAAAAATCTTACACATACCTTAGGAACGATATTGCAGAATATGCTGATGGTTTTAAAACCTTGACTTTTTCAAACCGCGGTATACCTTGAAAACGGTTATCATCCCATGCCTTGTCACGTGACACACCTCGCAACATGCAGGAAACTCCATTGTCTATACACACTAGTTTAGAAGTGAACACATCTCACTGTACGTTTTCTATGATATTTTTGTTAGAAGTGTAGTATTAGATATAGCGTGCAAATGCTGAAGATGTTTATTTACTATTAGGTAGTTCAGAGGGTAATTTTTAGCTAGTTTTGGTGTTTATGTTATGTTGCTTTCTTTAATATGGCGCCACTTGAAATTCTCTTTTCCCCTTTAATAACATACAATCATTAATGTATATTTTTGCTGTTTGACTTCTCACTTTTGTACATAAGTTCACTTATTTTTGTATTATTTGCTTGTCGTTTTGCTATTTTGTAATGTGATGCAATGTGTATTTTTACATAGCATATTTATTGTGTATGGCCATACACAAGAGGGGGTCACATCATTCACAATCAAGAGGGGGTCTCTCCAAACCACCACCACCAGTGTGCAGCATCCACTTAAATGATATTATGACAGACACAGGACAACAGTGCCAGTGCGCTCACCACACTGGAGAGGAGAGAAAGTGATAGAGCCATTACGGTGGATGTGGATGATTGGGAGGCCATGATGGGTAAGGGGCGATAGAGAGAATTTGGCCAGGACACCAGGGCTAGACCCCTACTCTTTTACAAGAAGTGCCATGGGATTTTTTTTTGACCAAAAAAGGTCAGGACCTCGATATATAATGTCTTAATGACTCATCCGAAAGACGGCGCTCACTGACAGTATAAGCCCCTTTCACACAGTGATACCTGTAAATATTGGAAAAAATTTCCAGAGGGACTTTACCGGTAAATTAAAAAAAAGTGCTATTTACACAGGAGAGCATGTTACGGAATTTTTTCAGAAAAAAACGTTTACACATCAATTCCAAAATATCAGTAAATTCTGACATCATTAACCAGAAATGAGCTCTAAATAGCTGCGCTTGTATTTGTAAACATTTGACTAAATTACAAACTCTGTGGATGGATCAGTATTGTGACCAACTTTGATGAAAACATATAGAGAAACACTTTCGCATGTCGAGATGTACATGATATGTGTGTGTGCTGGCGCTCACAGGCTGTTTCACGGGCACACGCGACGCGCAATGCAACTGAAGGAAGCAGAGCTTGAATGTAAACAAACAACTGCTGATCATATATCTTATCGGTAATTATTTACACAGTTGGCATTAAGAAGGAACATATAAATGTTATCTGACTAACACCTAGCAGCTAAATGTGTCTGGAAAAATATTCAGAGGCTTTTATTATCATAAATCGCGCGGACGTGAATGCGTCTGAGTGTTCTGATTGGCTAAAGCAGATGTCTCAGGTCAGCACGTTCTAGATGTGCACGCGCTCTTTCTGGCAATCTTCCTTCTGGGTTCACACAGCGCAGCATTCCAGCAAATTACCAGTAATGTTACAACTTCTCTTACCGGAAAATAGCCAGAACGAATTTACCAGTATTTTCAAAAAGGACCTGTTCACACATACAGACCTTTCCCGAAAATTGACGGTTATTTTCTGGAAAGGTCTGCTTGTGTGTAAGGGGGTAATGTGTCCCCTTCACTTTTTGCCACCAACTCACTACAAACTGAGTCACATCAAATGTTACCTCTTTAACCCCTAGAGCTAAACATTAAAGTTGTAACAGGCTAGAATAAAAGCAGTGTTTTTAAACCATTTTATGATCAATATTATTACCCCCCTTAAGCAATATTTTACTTTTGATTTTCTCTAAAACAAACCAGCATTATACAGTGATTTTCCTAATTACCCTCACTTATCTATTCAACTTAGTTAAGCCTTAAAATTGCACTGCAAGCTGACTATCTTGAAAAATATCTAGTCAAATATTATTTACTGTCATCATGTCAAAAATAAAAGAAATCAGTTATTAGACATGAGTTATTAAAACTGTTATGTTTAGAAATGTGTTGAAAAAACTTTCCATTTAACAGAAATTGTTGGAAAAAAAATACACAGGGGGTTAAAAAATCATAAAGGCTAATAATTCTGACTTCAACTGTATGTGCACTGAGCAGACATACTGTACCTTTCCTTTGCTGATAATGAAGAAAGTGTCTCCTCTTGCCCCCTGGCGAATGATGTAGTTGCCGTCCTCATAGTGGGTCTGGAAGAGAAAGAAAATTGCTTTGAGGATGCGAAGATGATATGGAAAAAGATGATGATGGAGAAAAACACAGGTGGCAGAGGGTCTGAATAGCAGATGTGCAGAACATCTCTGTGAGCCTTGGTGTGCTATGAAAAAAAGCGTGACCTCCAGACACATTCGTCTGAAATCTGATACCAGCAGCAGAAAGGAGAGACTCTGACACAAGCAAACACTTTGTTCCAGCTTCACCTCCAGTTTGACCTCCAGCAAATAACACACACACATGCATTCAGTGACGGGATATAGCTTTCTGTATAGTGTATGAAAAATGTAAGTAAAATCACAATGACAAAATGCAAATGAACTGGTCTATTTTAAACTAAACTAAACATGTTATTTAATTAATTTGATTGATTTTTATTTCAATTTAAATTGAGTATTTCATTGGTTAATTTTCCTTAAGCTTAGTCCATACCTGTCAACACTGGTGAACAATGTGAAAATAAGCTACAAAATATGTTAATCTCGAGCTGTTTCACTGTAAAAACGGTCAGTAATATGTTTTATTATTTACATAGGATAGAATAAATAGTATGCATTAGAAAAAGCTGCAAATAAATTAGTAAGCTATTCAAATGAATAACTATTATAAAGAAATAGAATCAAGTTATCAAATCTCATTAACTTTTTCTGTATAATTTATATATTCTGATTAAAGAGCAACAAATGAATCTCTCATCTAGGTTTTTCATTTGATTACATTAAACTACAGAGGTGTCACTTTAAAAACACACACATCTAATGAAAGCATTCGATTGCTTTCCTAACTGTTTATGCTCATTTAAGACTAAAATTGTTGTGTTTAAAAGAAAACCCAGCAGGGTCGACATGTTTTATTATTATTATTATTATTATTATTATTATTATTATTATTATTATTATTATTATTATCATTATTATTATTATTATTATTATTATTATTATGTGTATATGTCTGTTCAAACATAAACCCAAAATCCAGAGTTTCCCCTTTTGCTTCGCTTCAAATCGTGTGTACAGAATCCGTTTGGGAAACAGCATCTATTTATCGCTATTCATCGGCACCTGTAATGGAAAGGAAGGGAATCCCATCGTTTTTTATATTTATTTTAAAGTGTTTTCATTTCTAAATAAAATAAATTCGCATTTAAAAGGTATGGGTTGTGTAAAGGGAGGATCAGCTTTTTAAAGTTTATTGCCCCCCTTCATAGAAAGATAGAAAATACAGGAGAAATACAGGAATATACCTTTACGGGATGATAGTGGGATAGACTTGTAAAATACGGGACATTTCTGGGAAAAATGGGAGGTTTGACAGGTATGGATTAGTCCCTTATTTATCAGGGGTCGCCACAGTGGAATGAACCGTCAACTATTCCAACATATGTTTTATGCAGTGGATGACCTTCTAGCCAACGCCTAGCACTGGAAACACCCATACATTCTCACATTCACACATTCACATTAGGCTTGGTGGGTAATACGGTAATATGGTGTACCACGGGATCTAAAAATAGCAATGGTATCAGTTTTAATACTGTTATACCGTCATAAAAAATCAATGCACTTACATAGGAGACAAGTATTAAATATTACAATTATTTATTTAATGCCTACAAATGCGTATGTGTGATTATCATCACGGGACAGTGTGGAGGAGAGAGAGAGAGAGAGAGGTAAGGAGGTGAGTCACGCACCAAATGACCTGCAGTTTGGCAGTATTTCCGGTTTCGACCAAACGAGAAGGAAGACGTGGTAAATACGAACTAAAGGTCTGCATTTCAGCTGCTGTACCGCGGGAGCTGACCAGATTTCTTGCGGTGCGGGAATGAGTTTCCGAATAAACGGGGGGGAGCAGTCGGTAACTGGTGTAATTTGAAAGGGAGCTCCTAAACGAGCGAGCACACTTGCATCTGCGTGGATGATGTTTTTTTGGTGTGTGTGTGTGTGTGTTTGTGTGTGTGTGTGTGTGTGTGTGTGTGTGTGTGTGTGTGTGTGTGTGTGTGTGTGTGTGTGTGTGTGTGTGGGAGAAGGTTTGACGGTATCAAAATTTGGATACAGCCCAAGGCTAATACACACACTCTCATCCACTACGGCCATTTTAGTTTAATTAATTCACCTATGTCTTTGGACAGTGAAGGAAACCAGAACATGAGGAAGAAACTCATGCCAACACCGGAAGAACATGCACACAGAAATGCCTAGATTTGATTCGAGCAACCGACCTTCTTGCTGCGTGGTGACAGTGCTAACACTGAGCCACCGCCCGTGCCACAAAATTAAGTATTTATTGCAGTATTGGATAGATGGATAGACAGACAGACAGACAGACAGACACACAGAAAGACAGATAGACAGATAGACAGATAGATGGATAGATAGATAGATAGATAGATAGATAGATAGATAGATAGATAGATAGATAGATAGATAGATAGATAGATAGATAGATAGATAGATAGATAGATAGATAGATAGATAGATAGACGGATGGACGGACGGACAGACAGACAGATAGATAGATAGATAGATAGATAGATAGATAGATAGATAGATAGGTAGATATATTATTTGAATTAAAGATTACAGCTGTATCTACACTTTGATTGTAGTTTTTTATTATCTTATTTATAATAAAATAAGCTAATTTATAACCTTATGGCTTATGCTTTGATTTTAATAATAATAAAAAAAAAATAACAACAAAAACAAATGCAACTATGACTTTATAAAAGCTAATTTTGATGCATTAATGCAGTTTTAGTTCTCCTTTATGACATCTTAAATTGCAGTACACACTGGTCCTAAATGTTCCATTGTAAGTATACCCACTCTTTAAACTTCATGAAACATGAAACAGTCAATTCTGAGCTCCAGAAAGTGTCCAATACTTATTTGACTTTTTTCTTTGTCTTTAGAGTATTTGTGTTTTTTCATATAAATGCAATTCAGTAAAACCTTCCTTGATTGTAAGAATATTTCAAGTGCATATTCATTCATTCATTTTCTTTCAGCTTAGTCCCTGTATTCGTCAGGGGTCGCCACAGTCGAATGAAGCCAACACTTATCCAGCATACGTTGTAGCTGCAACCCAGTACTGGGAAATTAGGTGCATATTTTTATTTATTTACTTATTTTTTTTAAGTGAGACATCTTAAAAGTGAGAAATTCTGAATACGGTTCCTCAATATGTTCAATAAATGGAGGATTGCATTAAAATTAAGTGACCACATGGACCACAGCAATGAGAGAGATTCGTCAATGAGTCCAGACTTTCATTCCCCAGGGAATAATTACATTCCCTCTGACAAAATGACATATGCAAAATTGACATTTAAGATCAAAAAGCCTGAGCAAATTTCAGTTCCTTATTTAAGGTCAATCACTGGCTGAAGACACTCGCTCCACTCTCTGCACATTCAAAACATTTATTTAGCACACCACGTCACAGAATTATCGAGGACAGAACTGAGTGAGAGATTGACCTGTATTTGAATATCGACTGACAGACACATTTAATGAAAGTAAATACACTCATTACTTTAAAACGATGCCCTCGTATTTGCTCATCTGAGACTGATTTGTTAATAAACATCACCAGTTACATTTGTTAAACGTTTAAATGGAAATAATATTTTAGCAATTGCTACAAATAAGTCACTAACTTACAAGAAAATGTAAATAAAGCTTAACAGAAATATATTTACAAAAACAATCACGGGTTATTATTAGTAAATGTTAAATTGATAATATTTTATTACTTACTAAAACAGAATAAAAAAAAAACTTATTATATACTGTGATAAATAAAATTAAATAAAATCTAAAATTATCTTTTTAAAATCAAGAAACAAGCTATATAAAAACACTGAAATGCACAACAATATTATGTATTTAGTTTTTTTTTTATATAAAATGTTAAATAAAATATTAGCAAAATTTTAATTAATGCCAAAGTCAGAAAATATTTCTATAGTAATTATTTTTGTTAGAGTGACCAATAATAATAATAATGATAATAAATAATTCAATATAATAATGATAATAATAATAATAATAATAATAATAATAATAATAATAATAATAATAATAAAGCAAATAATAAATAAATAAAGCAAATAATAAATAAACAAATAAATAATAATAATAATAATAATAATTATTATTATTATTATTATTTATGTATTTATCTTTACTACTACTAATAGTAATAACAATTATAAAGTTAATAATATTAATGATAAATCAAATAATAATAATAATAATAATAAAAAGCAAATAAAATAATAAATAAATAATAATTATTATTATTACTACTACTACTTCTACTACTACTTCTAATAACAATAGTAAAGCAAACAATAATAAAAATAATAAAAGGCAAAAAATAAGTAATAGTAATAATAATAATAATAATAATAATTATTATTATTATTATTATTATTATTATTATTATTATTATTAACTTAAAACTTTTTTATCCATAAGCAAAAACATCACAGTCATAGTCATCTAAACAGTTTAAATCTGATATTATTTGTATTAGATATACTGTAATACACCTAATTAACTACAAGAGCAAACTCAATTTCTCTTTTTTAAGTTACTAAAAAGAGGTTGAATCATGTATTATTACAAAGGTGAAGAACAGCCACTGCAATATTATCACCAAGACCACAGCGAATGGAAAACAGAAACCTTTGGCCCCTAAACACAAAAAACAGTGTCTTTCCATCACTCACTCTGTTAGAAATTCTGAGCTTTACAAGATATCCACCATGTCTACGACTCATCTTCTCATGCTATTCTTAGATTAAAAAACATTGATTTTTGCCGCTTTGATGCTTTGTGAACAGTGAGGGCTGGTGATTCTCCATCTAACACAGAAAGAGTGATTCATGGTTTACTTCAGCGCACTGAACCATGTGCATTAAACTAAAGGACAAGAAAGTCTAAAAATATGTAAATAATGAGCTTTAATAACTCACTGACCTCAAAAAAACAGTCACTGATGGAATCTGTTGACTTCATTCATGTGTCTGACTGACTGACTGACTTATTCATGTATGTTTGGATGTATGGATGAATAAATGGACAGATGGATGGATTCATTCATTCATTCATTCATTCATTCATTCATTCATTCATTCATTCATTCATTCATTCATTCATTCATGCCTATACACATTGATTGATCGCTTCATTCTTTAATTAATTAATTAATTCATGTCTTTATGCATTGATTGATTGCTTAATTCATTCATTCATGTCTTTATGCATTAATTGCTTTATTCATTCATTCATTCATTCATTCATTCATTCATTCATTCATTCATTCATTCATTCATTCATGTCTTTATGTATTGATTGATTGCTTCATTAATTCATTCATGCCTTTATGTATTAATTGACTGCACTGTTCATTCATTCATTTAGTCATCTTTATTGATTCATTGCTTCGTTCTTTCATTCTTTCATTCATGTCTTTATTTATTGACTGCTCCATTCATTCGTTCATTCATTTATATATTGATGTATTGATTGCCGCGTTCATTCATTCAATCATTCATTCATGTATTTATGTATTAATTGACTGCTCAGTTCATTCATTAATTCATATATTTATGTACTGATTGATTTCTTCATTCATGCATTCGCTCATTCGTTCCTTCATTCATGTCTTTATGTAATAATTGACTGCTTCATTCATTCATTCATTCATTCACCCGTGTATTTATTTATTGATTTACTAATTTACTTTAATTCATTCATTCATTCGTGTATTGATTGATTGATTGATTGATTGATTGATTGATTGATTGATTGATTGATTGATTCATTCATTCAATCCATGTATTTATTTATTTATTTACTAATTTGTTCATTTGTTCATTTATTAATTTATTTATTCATTCATTCATTCATTCATTTATTCATTAATTTGTGTATTTATTTATTGATTTACCAATTCACTCTTTTGAATGAATAAATTCATTCATTCATTTAGTTTAAAACAGTCACAATGTGACTGAACAAATCAGCAAATTTTTGTATAACAACATTTAGGTTTTCTTGTCAGGTGTGTAAATGTGAAATGTACTTCTAGTAATAAATCCTTTAACCAAAAACATTTATCTTAATTTCTGCAAAAAATAAATAAATTAATTAAATGGACATTTAAAATCTGTCACATTTAAAATAATAATAATATTAATATTAATAATAATAATAATATTTATAATAATAATAATAATAATAATAATATGGTTGGTTTCTTCAAAACGGTAAATAAATAAGCTAGAGCGCTGCTTATAGAGAGTGAATGTTGAGCGATCAGTGCTTTGATTTAATGCTGTTTGTGTTTGAAGATCTCTCACCTCCTCCAGGACATCAGCCAGTTTGCTCAATATTTCCTCTGGAAGACCCCGGAACGTCAGCACACTGTTAATGAAGGACAACACAAGTCAATATTATTGGTAACAATGACAAATAACTACCTTTTAAAATGGACATAAACATATAATCATGCCCTGCTTCCAGATATGCCTACTTTTATGAAGAGGGCATGAAGTAGACAAGCAAAATGCATTCATCAAAAGTCTTAAAAGGAAAAAAAATCAAGGAGAAAGCGTAATCAATTTTTATTATTTTAAGAAAAAAAATCTATTCCTACATTTTTTTTCTTGGAATGTAAAATGATCAAAACAGCAAGTCACAATCACATATTGAAATGAATCCAGAGCTGCTCTTTTGACCATCAAAATAAAAATAATATCCCTAAATCCCGCGAGTGCAACCAACAAGAGTTGTGCTCATGCAGTGGGTAATGGCTGAAAGGTTTGCATCCGGCTAGTTGGTATACGCTGAGCCAATTAGCCAGAAAAGCAAGGCATTATCTAGATTATGTAATAAAAGCTGTAATTGATCTTAATGAATCATGTTTAGGATGATCCCAGATGAGATCTGAGCATTAGCAAACACAAACATACGCACACACACACACACACACACACACACACACACACACACACACACACACACACACACACACACACACGTTTAAAAAGACGGCCAGAGTCTCTGTTTCACTGCCGTGTGTCATGAGATGATCATACATCAATAACAGCTTCTGCATAAATATTTTACATGCCATAAAAAATTCAAAGCTCCATTAAAGTCTCCTGTTACCGTTTAGTATTAGACTGAAGCAGAGAATAGTGTTATGGAGACACACTGAGCAAATATTTGTGTCTAAAAATGACTGTGTTATTTTTTTATCATCTTGTTTGAAAAGGTTGCTGATGAATGCATGACAAGAAATCCTATTTCATCATTTGAGTTTCAAAGAAGCAGTTCTGGAGATGGGCGTTTTCACTCAGTATAATAGTACTGTGACTAAGCCTTGCAAAAGTATTACAAACCGGCAAATATTTTTACTTCATCCATGCTATTTATGTACTGTAATATGAGTAGAGCCTGATGGTGTTCATCATTATTTATAAATGCAGATTTTCAGAAGCAAAAACCTGAAAATGTCTCCTAAAATGAGCATTTTTCTCTGCCTCCTGAACGTAGATTCATTTATTTCACTTTTATGGCGCAGAATATGTTTCCTTTATTAACTTTAAATGGAAATAACTGAACAAAAACACAGGAGCCTGAGAAAAATGCTCATTTTAAAAGAAAATATTAGACGGCACTTAGAGGTTTTTGCATCCAATCTCTTCAAATACTTTAATAACCCATGAAATTTTTCTTTCAAAACACGTTTCGTGCCAGTCCTGTTAAAATGTTGAGAGGCTGAAGGTCAGTAAAAAAATGGATAATAACAGCCGTAGTTGGCAAGCAGTTTCACACCATATTCACAATTATGCCTGAGCTTTGTGCCAAGAGCAAATTGTCAGAGAAAAAACTAAATTAATTGCTCCATTTTTTCAGTTAAATGAATACAAATAAATGGATAACGTTTTTTTTTTGTTTGATTAAACGCTACATGAAAATGATCAAACAATTATAAAAAACAATTATTATTACTAATTTAAATTTAAAAGCTTTTTTAAAAAACTATTTGATTTTTAATAGTATTTTTATTATATTTCTATACTTTTAATATATAATTATATCTTTTACAGATTCATTTATCATTCAAATATATATAAAAAATAATAATAATAATAAAAATAATAACAATAATAATTATTATTAATTAATTCGGTTCATTCCGCGGTGGCGACCCCGGATTAATATAGGGACTAAGCCAACAAGAAAATGAATGAATGAATGAATGAATGAATAACAACAACAACAACATTGTTACATTATTATCATGTATTATTATAATTGTGGTATAATTTTTAATAATAATAATAATAATAATAATAATAATAACAATAATAATAATAATAATAATAATAATGTTAACAATATTTTATTGTTATTATTATTAATATTATTATTATTATTGATTTTTAAATATTTTAACAGATAATGATGATGATGATGATGATGATGACTATTATTGTTATTATTATTATTATTATTATTATTACAATATTTTATTAATATTTAATAAACTATTATTATTTTTATTATTATATTGTTAAATAATTATTAATAATAATAATAATAATAATAATAAAATTACAAATAATAGTAAAATTAATAATAATATAATAATAATCATGATAATAATAGTAATAATAATAATCATATTTTCTTGAAACATATTTACAGCATCTATAAAGCATTGAATCTTTTTTCCTACTGCACTCAAGTATCTACCTTCAATTTCTTAGTTATGTTTTATTTTATTTTACTTTATTTTTTGTTTGTTGTTGTAAAAAAATAAAAATATACATGTGTGTAGTGTTTTGTACAAGCCAAGATGATTTGTTTTACACACATCTGAAAATAAAATTGTGAAAAAAATATATAGAGAGAAAGAGACGGGGCAGAAACATGCAAATAAGCAGACATTTCAATAAATATGTGTATCCAAAGTATTCATATGACTTTGTATTATACATTGTTTCTCTAGAAGTAAAGATTAACTCAGAGCTCAGAATATGAAAGCTAAATACCAAATCCGTCTATAGACCAGATCAGTAAATGTGCAAATTCAGTGTGTCTAATGCATCCACACACATAATTCACTCTACTTTTGTTTGTGAACGGCTGTTAGTTCAAAGCATCATTGACAAAATTAGCTCTAATTATCCAAATAATAAGTAACAGCACATTAACTGCATTAGATGAATCATTAAAACGAAGGCTCTACATTTCTCATGCAATAAAATAGAGAGAGAAAGAGAGATGGCGAAAGCAAAGGAGGAAGAATATATAGTGAGCAATAGTCAGTTTCTGAGGCTTTGAATTGTAGAAGCTTCCAAGAAATTTGTCTGTTCTGCCTGGATGTCTTTAAAGTCTTTGATGAAGACTTCTTTCATCCAGTGTGGCTCAGTAGCCCAACAATGCCGGATTCTGTCTTTAATATGTAAAATATGCAGCACCGTGCTCTCTTCTCAGGGTGCCATTATGCAAATGAAGATGTCAGATGATAAAGAAAGAGATGTGCTTGCTCACCTCTTCAATAACTCCATGTACTCTGCATGTTTGATTAGGCCCGTCCTCATCATGATGGTCTGGAAACACTGTCTGTCGATGGCCCATAACTTCACACTGGACACCGCTGAAATCACAAAAAACACTTATTTAGTTTGGGAACAAAGTATTTCATATTGTGATGTTTTGATGTATTTTCATACTGATGATTGTGATTCTTTTTTATGTTTCTTGTATGTTCTCATACAGTTGAAGTCATACAGTGATTTAATCCCCCCCCCCCCCCCGTATATTTTTTCACCCCAATTTCTGTTTAACAGGAAGAATTTTTGAACACATTTCTAAACATAATAGTTTTAATAACTCATTTCAAAAATCTGATTTATTTTATTTTTGACATGATAACATAAAATTTAATTAGATATTTTTTCAAGACATTTAGCTTAAAGTGCATTTTAAAGGCTTAACTAGTTTAATTAGGCAGGTAAGGGTAATTAGGCAAGATTGACTGTTCTGTAGACAATCAAGAAAAATATAGCTTAAAAGGGCTAACAATATTGAACATTTGTTAACTTGTTGTTGTTGTTTTTTTTTTTTTTAAATAAAACTGTTTTTCTAGCCGTAAATTTAAACAAATAAGACTTTCTCCAGAAGAAAAAAAATATTATCGGAATTAATGTAAAAAAAAAAAAAAAATCCTTGCTCTGTTAATCATTGTTTGGTAAATAATTAAAAAAAAAGAAAAAAAAATCAAAGGAGGGCTAATCATTTTGACTTTAAATGTAAGTCAAGGCATGGCAAGCAAAGTTGGTGCGAGGGTGCAAAAAACATTTAGTTGACAAGATCTTTCTAAATCACAGTTCAAGAGTTCACACTTAGCTGATGGTTGATTAAAGAAGCTTGTTTGGCATGCTGTCCTGGGAGAGAGCCCTGAGCTCATGAGATCCTCGAGCCCAGGGTTCCGGGAGAGGAGTTTGAGCTCAGGTAGATCTCGAGAACTCCCCTGCTGTATTAACCTATGAACATTAAATGATTGCTCTTGGAGATAACTACATACTAGAAGCATGCCTATGGTGCCGATTTGGATTAGTCAATTAACTTAATTTGCATGTTTTTGGACGGTGGGAGGAAACCGGGGAAAAAGTGCAAACTCCACACAGAAATGTCTGCTGGTTTGGTAAAGCCATAAAAAGGGGACTCTTCAAAACGAAGATAGCAGTGAAATGAAACCCAGGGTATTTATAGTAGTTTAGGAGTCATCTGATTGGAGCATAGTGAATTGGATGATGCGGATCCAGCCGCTAGCAATCATAAGCACGTGATCCTCTCGAAATTAGTTTATACATAAACTTCAGTTATTTGAACATTTTAAATGACTATTTGTGATTCATACTATTCATTGCTTCACTGGAATGCGTAGAATGATATATAAGTATTTTAGATGTTGAAATATAAATTATATCTAAATTAACTATTAGGGATGCATAGATACTTCATTTTTGATTTTAAAACACTTACAATTTGACGAATGGTAGCCAATATGTAGGCCAATAAATATAAACTCTTTATTATTTTAATTTTATTTTAAAACCTCATATTAACAACTCATTCATTCATTTTCATTCGGCTTTGTCCCTTTGTTAATCAGGGGTCACCACAGTGGAATGAACTGCCAACTATTCCAGCAACCCAGTAATGGGAAACATCCATACACAGTCACACACATAGACAACGGACAATTTAACCTACCCAATTCACCTACAGTATACCACATGTTTTTGGACAGTGAGGGAAACCGGAGCACACAGACGAAACCCACGCCAACACGGGGAGAACATGCAAACTCCACACAGAAATGCCAACTGACCCAGCCAGGGCTTGAACGGGTGACCTTCTTACTGTGAGGTGACAGTGGTAACAACTGAGCAACCATGTCGCCCTTATTTTAGTAACTTTCATAGTTAAATAATATTTATGGTCAAATATATTTTATATAAATCCACTGCCTGAAAAAAATAAAATGAAAATTTGCAACAGATAATAAAAGAGGTTTCTTCTGAAACGTCATGAATTTGTATGAATTTTTAACATGAAGCCAACTAGAAATGTCACAATATATTATGCATTCATAATAATAATGGAATAAATAGTCTCTCACAGTCCATTTAAAATGCTGTCGCTGAGTTCTGACATTATTATTATAATTACATTTGCTTTTACAATTTTACAAAATGCTCTAACACATTTTACACTTCTCTGTAAAACTAAAGTTATTTCTTTCATTCATTAATCTTTCTTTGGCTCAGTGCCTTTATACATCAGGGGTCGCCACAGCGGAATGAACCACCAACTTTTTCAGCATACAGTTGAAGTCAGAATTATTAGCCACCCTTTTGATTTTTTTTCTTTTTTAAATATTTCTCAAATGATGTTTAACAGAACTTCACAGTATGTCTGATCATATTTCCTTCTGGAGAAAGTCTTATTTGTTTTATTTAGCTAGAATAAAAGCAGTTTTTAATTTTCATGAACCATTTTAAGGTCAAAATTATTTGCCCCTTTAAGCTATTTTTTTTGACTCTACAGAACAAACCATCGTTATACAATAACTTGCTTAATTACCCTAACCTGCCTAGTTAACCTAATTAACCTAGTTAATTAAGCCTTTAAAGCTGTTAAGAAGTGTCTTAAAAATATCTAGTAAAATATTATGTGCTGTCATCATGGCAATAACAAAATAAATCAGTTATTAGAGAGGAGTTATTGAAACTATTATGTTTAGAAAAGTGTTGAAAAAATTTGCTCTCTGTTAAACAGAAATTGGGAAAAAAAATAAACAGGGGGGCTAATAATTCAGGGGTGCTAATAAATCTGACTTCAACTGTATGTTTTACTCTGCGGATACCCTCAAGCCACAACACAGTGCTGGGAAACACCTACACACACTCTCTTTTACACACATATTTCTTAACTACAGCCAGTTTAGTTCATCCAATTCAACAATACAGTAGCTCATGTCTCTGGACTGTGGAGGAAACTCGAGCACCCAGAGGAAACCCACGCCAACACGGGGAGGACATGCAAACTCCAAACAGAAATTCCAACTGACCCTAGCTGTCTTTTATATAAATAAAATCTATTGCCTGAAAAACACAAGATTAATGCAAAATTGGCAATAAAATAAGTTTCTTCTGATACCGCATGACTTTTTAACAGAAAGGACAACTAGAAAAATGCCACAATATACTGTGCATCTGTAATATTTATTGCAATATCTGTAATGTGTTTTGTAACAGTCTATTTGAAAAGCTGTTCTAAAAGTTCTGCCATTTTTATTATTACAAGACCTTGTTTTACAATTTTACAAAATACTCCAACTCATTTGACAGTTCTCTATAAAACTAAAGCCATTTCTGTTTCTCAAGAAATAAATCTTAACTGAAATAACATGAAAACTAATTAAAACTATTAATAAAAACTACAACGACATCTCAATTACATATATAAAAAACACACTGATCTCTACTGCACCAAAAAAAATTGCAGTTACATAAATTTTATCTCATTATGCATTGAATGCAACACTTTACAATGCAATTGCTATGCATTGTAAAGTAATCTGTGCTGTATTCATTTGGCTCAATGGCATCCAGACACGCGTTTAAAAAGTACACAGAATGCATAAAAGCTCAATAAAGGAACATCACTGGCACACAATACCTCCAAAAATACTGCAGAAACATTTACAGAGCATGTTCATATAAACCCACACATAAAAATTACATTTTGAGTTACGAGTCTCTTCAATAGCAACAAGGACCTCAATTATGGCAACAAGCACAAACTTATCCACATATTTACACTAAACACATCTAATAAAGCATGTTTTAACTGCTGTATCCAAACCATAATGACAAACAGCAGTTATATGACTAAATATTTACAGATATTGCAGCATTGACTGCTGGGTATTTCATCATCAAAGTGCAGACGAGGAGAAGGAATGCGAGGAGTGAAGACGACATTGCAGAAATAGAGGCGACGTTCTAGGAAAGTGTTTTATTATTGCCTTTCCTACGGTCTACTGAACTCTGACTCAAGCAGATCTGTCCACAGCTTAGAGAAACTCGCTGTCAACAACTGTCAATGAAACACAAACAGCCGAATGACGTATCAAAACTACATCGATGCTCTCACTTCTTTATGTTCTCAGTTACAAATGATGTTTTTTATTTATTTGTTACAAGCTATCAATGGAGAGTTGCACTGTAAAAATATCCATTATTATTAAATATCCCCATGTTTTGTGTTTCACTGTTTTATTTGAGTATTATGAGTATGACCTTTAGGTCTGCTCTCATGACTTCTACATTTACATTTAGTCATTTAGCAGACACTTTTGTCCAAAGAGACTTGAGCAATTGAGGAAGAACAATTGAGGAGGCATTCAGCGATTCAACAAGAACAGGCAATACACACAAGAAGTGCTAATTATACAAAGGAATTGTTAGTGCTCAGAGAATTAAGGGGTCACGAAACACCAAAACACATTTTTTGAGCTGTTGACAGTCGTATACGTGTCTCACACAGCTAAAAACACTATTAGGACACATATATTTCATTAAAGTGAAAATTGGTTGTTTTTGCGTTATTTCGAGCTAATTCGTTCTTCCGGTTTGAAACAAATTTTTGAAGCTTTTTCTTAGCATGTATTCCAGCATGCAGACTGGACGTCTGTACCTGGGAGCACCCTATTACGTCTCCGAGTGTGCTGCATTTATTCATGAGTAAGGCTTGGTTCAAACCAATCAGTGCGCTGTATTGTGCAACTTCATTAATATTCATTAATGTTACAGTGTTTAGACGGCAAACAAGCGCGCAATGCTGCTTTTATAATTTGTGATAAGTTAATGTGCATTAAACCAATCAGAGTCTCATCTCCCATTCCCTTTTAGAGTCAGTTGCATTACGCCATGGCGCATTCGTTATTTACACGGCGGACTTTGTAAGAGGAAACAGTTAAACAGACCATCTGCGGCCTCTTTACCTTTCTTAACTTTTGTGGATAAGGAAACGGTGTTCTACACACTGCACTGAAGACATTCATTAGCCTACATATCTTATTTA